AACCTCTGTTTCCTAACCACACTGCAAAGTGGGGTGGCGCGATGCGTTAGGCCCCACAGCTCGCGAACAGTTCGAGATCAAGGTTTGCGCTTTTAGGGGTCTGATGCCAACATATGAGCCTATCTTCCTGCCAAACGGCAACCTCCTACCTAATCACACTTCGAAATTACGCCCTGTCAAAAAAGTGGCGCTTTAATTTTGCTCACGAGTGTATAATTAAACATGTCTGCGGTAAAGTACATTGTCATAAGTGTCCGAGATTGTATGAGTGTGCGTGTTTTGGAGGGGGGGGGGCATATCCCCTTTCTGACAAATTTTCCAGGTCGTTGAATGGTACCGTATGGACGTAACAAAGCACAATCTGTGCCGCCGGGCGCTCGCGCAAAGACCACGCTGGAGAGTCCCTTTAACAGCCGTGGCCATGCCAGATCTGGGCGGGCTGGGGCCGCTGGGGTTGCGGGCCGCGCTGGCCACCGGGACTGTGCGGGGGCGCCACCGGCTGCGGAGTCCGTACCCCACGCGGGCCAGCAGGGCGCACCAGCGATACCCCTCTCCACCGGCCGGCAGTGGGGCAGGGCGTAGAGACGGCAGGCACGCCCCAGACAAAGGGAAAACCGGGCATCTGCCGCACAACTATCGGGCACCTACCAGGCAACTCCCGTGTAGAGGTGTGCGAACAGTTCGAATCGAAACTGTCTCGATTCGATTCGTTTCGATCTCGAAACAAGGCACTTCGAACTCGGACAATTCGGACGCATCAAAATTTTGAAGTTCGAAATCGAAACGACATGTGCACATGGAGCGCACGCTGGGTAACTTATATTAAAGGTAAAGGGAAGGTTTCTCATTTGATAAAAGGATGGTTTGCCAATCCCTTTGATTTAAGAGAGAATCTGAGCCCCAACACTTATTGGCTGCCCCATTTTAATGGTTTATAGCAACTCCTAGAATGTTAGGTAATGATTCGATTCGATTCGCATTTGAAATAGTAAGATTCGATTCGATTCGATTCGGGGTAAAATTTTGAGATTCGATTCGAGGAAAAAAAATCCAGATTCCAACCAACCAACTGTCGGGCAAGGGAGGACGGTCCGTGTTTTTTTTCGTAGAAGTCGTTCAAATCGGAAGTGTGACGGCAATGCCAGCCGCGGGGCCAGTCGCACCCTAGTGAACATCGTGTCTGAACAGCCAGCCGATCCACGCAGAGTAGCAGATGGTCGAGGGTACGCCGCCCCCCCGCGGTTGGCTCACAAGGGAAGGGTTTCCGGTGATGCAGTCAGATTTCAAAGGCGCTTTAAAGATTAGTCGTTTGCACCCCTAGATAAGGTTTGGCACTGGTTTTAGCTGCCCGAGGGGGTTTGGATGTCATTTCACGCGGATTTCATCAAAAAGGTCTCCTAAAGAAACTTAACAGAGGTCTTTTTATCATGAATCAGATGATTAGATGCATGGATAGGACGACCATGATGAAGTTGTACCATGCAAATTTAATGCACACATGCAATATAGAATTGAAACATGGGGTGACGAAAGGAATAATAAGAAGTGGATTGAAAAAGTTTTTAAGAAGCAAAAAAGAGCCATAAGAATAATTCATTTTAGAAATCAAAAAAGGAAATCGTGTAGAGGAATTTTTAAGAAGCTAGGCATACTAGCAAGCATATATATATATATATAGAATGGCTACTCTAGCAAAAAAAAAACAAAAAAAAACATAAAGACAAGAGAAATGACCAGATACATAAGCATGACACAAGAAACAGAAAAGACATGCACTGTGAAGATGGGAAAAGCAGAATGCCACTCAA